ATCACACAACCAACCCTCCAATCACTTTCAAAATCTCCCCCCCTGGATTTCACAACTACTTGTTCCACCCTACCTCCATTCACTCCTGTAAGGCTGGCCTCCTCCCAGCTCTCTGAAGTTAGCAATTCTTTCATTTGTGCAGCAACAACTTGTCAGCCGTGCAAAGTTTGCCACCCTAGGCACATTGTCTGCTCTCCCATTCCTACCATGGTGATAAAGGATGACAAAAGTTAGAGGTTTATACTCAAAAGTTATTGCCCTGGACAAGCAGAATTTTAACTCCCCTCCCCTGAAGCCATTCAACTGCTTCCTCTATTTCCTATCCTAAAGCTTGCCTTCTCTAGCCTCAGATCAACTCCCTCTAGAAAGCATTTTGTCATCTTACATAACCAGGATGCTCCTGAAAAATATGGGGAAGTTCATATTTCATAGAAACTAAAGTTGAAATGCAAAAATGTTTAATTTCCTTTATCTGAAGTCTTCAAAACCATGCAGAAAGACGCCGCGAGACAGATGTCCATTTTTCTTTTGGGGAGGGGCCCTCAAAGAGGGAGAAAAAGACGGGAGGATGTTGAACTGTTAAAACATGCTCACATCTGTGGCACTTGCCATTTGTGCTTCCTCCGATGGGGAACTCAATCTCATTCCCCCTTTGCTTTTTTATAATCATAGAGCCAAATGCAACAAGAGGATGGATGGCCATACAAGCTGCAGTTAGAGGCTCTGTTCCTAGAAGATGGCATGTCCCACATATTTCAGATGTTCCCTTCTTAGCTCCTGTTACTTTTGTGGAAACATTCAAAGACTCCAGAAAGGAAACTCATATGATCCATTTCAAGACCACAAGACTGTCACTTTAGTTGTAAGTAAAGTAAGTAGGAGTGGTGGACTCTCAGGCTTGCAGGATAGGGACCCAAGATGGCATTACTACAGAGAAGGACTTTGAGGAGCACCTACTAAGAGCAGCAATAGAAGTGGCAGCAGCTGCCCAAGGACAGAAACATGGTTCAGCCATCACTTAGACCAGGGATTCTCAACCTTTTTCTCTCTGAGCCCCTCCTCAACATGCTATAAAAACTCCAGGGCTCAGCCCGGGGCAGGGGGCAGGCCCTCAGGGCAGGGGCCTTGGGCATAGGTGTAGTTTGATTTCTGTTTTGGGGGTGAGAAGGGGCCAGCCACCTCTGCATGGCAGGGTCCAGGGAGGGAATGCCACCTCCAACCCCTGACTCACCTCACCTGGCCACCCAGCCTGTTTTGGGGGGGGGGGGCTGCAACTAAATTTTACGACTCAAAGGTGGGGGGCTCAGCACAAAAAGTTTGAAAACAGCTTAGGGTGCAGGAAAGGGGGTGGCTAGGAGGGTAGCTCAGGGTGCAGGGAGGGGGGTTTTAGGGGCTGTGTGCAAGCAGCGGGGTAGCTCAGGGTGCAGGGAGGGGCTGTGTGCTGGGAGGGCTCCCCTGCGGTCCCTGTTCCCAGAGGGGTCTGCCAGCCACAGAGCCGGGTCTCCCCAACCGGGTGGCTCTTACTGGCTACCTCTGCTGGTGCAAAGGTGGTTGGGAGCTGAGGAGCAGCTTCAACCCAGAGAAGGGGGAACGCTGTGGCTGCCTGCTCCATGGCACCAGCCAGAAGCAGCAGCTACCCCGCTCTGGCTTCCTGCCTCTGACCTGGCCCTGGGGCAGGGAGAGGAGTTCGTTTGTTTGGGTTTTTTTTGGGGGGGGGGGGTGGCGGAGAAGGTGTGGAGCTGCCCCCAGGACTGTCGTGCTCTTGTGCTGCTGTTTGGCAGGGGTGGAGAAAAGAAATGCTTTCCATCTTCCTAACTCTGCCCATAGGCTCAGGGCTTCTGCCCCACACAGAGCACCAGGGCTTGGGGATTCAGCCCCACGTTTCCCAGCTTCAGCTCCACGGGGGGTGCTAGGGCTTGGGCTCGGGCTCTGGGTTTCAAGCTGCAGGGCCCCATGGCCCCCTTGAAAGGTTTTGCGGACCCCCATTTGAGAACCACTGACTTAAGACAGCTGGAATGGCCATCTTTTCTAGCCTACCCCTCCAGGACAGTCACTTCCACTGACATATGATGTTTTTAAAGCCATGTGGGCTGGTTTGGACAGCACCATGTGGGCACCTATTATGTATGTCAGCAGGTAATAGCCAGCACTGACAGGTTAGTTTAGACAGACAATGAGAAGGGAAAAGTAAAGCTGCTTATCTCAATCTAGGCTGCATATTCATGTGCTGTCTCCTAACTACATCTATTCGACCTGCATTCGCCTCCTACTTCAGCTCTGCAAATGGCCATGCTGGTTTCCATGTGTATTTTATCTAGGCTGCCTGCTTACTAACATCCTGTTAGCTAGTGACAGCCTGCTGGAAAGACCTCAAAGGGAACATTTACTCCAACGGCACAATTGACCTTAGATTGTAGTAGCAGCAATATATTGTGTTGCAAGTTTGGAGACCTCCCTGCCCTAGCTACCCCCGTCCCCGGCTGATGCTTCATGAAATTGAGAAATACTTTTGTGAAGGAAATTCTGCTTCTTTCTTAGCTATCTCCTCCCACTCTATCCAGCGGGGAATAGTACATAAAAATTACAGGGTTTATGTTGCTCAGAGCCCAGAGCCAAGAACAAGGAAATCCAACTATTAGTTCCTTCTGTGGCTTTGGCAAGGCCATTGCCTGTCTCAGTTTTGCCCATCTATAAATAAATCTTAATTAGCCGCCTACAGAATGGTCAGGGAACATTCATACAGCACGATGTATTACTCTTGGTTTCAGAGATGTTCAAGAGCAACCTAGTACAGCCCTCAAGCTATCTACCTGTTTCCCTTCCAGAGTTACCACTCATGAGTGTCATTATCTCTATAACTTACATATTTCTACCTCCCAAACGTTGAACATTATTGTCCTGTCCTTAGTCCTTGTGTTCCAGTGATAGTCAAAAACAGGACAAGAGTTCCTTAAGTTAACACTGAGCAGCAGCTCAGTCTGCACAAAGGAGTTTTAACCAGCTCTCTCCATGGAACAGGACTGCAAAGCAGCAGGGATTTTAAAACAATATATTAAGAAATGTTGATTTACGATCTCAAACTATAGAGAGATTGGCAATTAGTGCTGCACCGAAAATGAATTGAAATAGGACCATTTCAAGTACTGTCGTAATCATCCCAGCAAGAATCACTCTGATGAGGTCAAATGGAAAAAACTTTTTAATAACTTAATGATATTCTTCCAGGAGAGATGAGCCTGCAGTAATCCATTTACTTGAGTGTGGATGAAAAGAGAACTTCAGCTTTCCAGGCTGTCAAATACAGCACCTTCGAAGAGCACTAAAACTCACATGAAAGTCTGCCACAACATGACGTTTCTTTGACACCACAAACCAGCTCTCAAAGGCTTAAAATCTCTCTGGCCATACAGAAAAGTTACTAAAAATGCCAGTGCTCCTAAAAGCCATCTTCAAAAACTGGTAACGTGTGCTCATCTTAACCACTTATGTGGAACTTCCAATTAGTTACACATTCTTCAGTCCTCACTTACTTAAACACAGCAGACACTGGAAGTGACACAACAGAAGCAGTGCCTGAGGAGATCGGTGTGAAATGTTGGCCATGACCGAAGTAGCTCTGACAGTGTCACCTTTAGGAAAGGATGCAAAACTCATCTCTTTGCCATAGTTGTATCCATCAATAACTGGCTGTGTGGTAAATGCACGTTGTTGGAGAACTAGAGAGGAAAAGGATTCTAGTGCAGGACACCAGTACTCAGGGCCTGGGCTCCAGCCCGAGCCTGAACCGGCTACCCTGCTATTTTTAGCCCTGCAGCTCAAGCCCCGGGAACGCGAGTCAATTGACCCAGGTCTCCGCAGGCTTTTCTTTGCAGTGTACCCTTACACTGCACTCAGATGTGACCACAGATAGCACTGCCTGCCTTCCATGCTGTGGTGATTAGCTACTTTTGCTCCTAGAGCTACCACCACAGCAACAATCAACAGCATTAATTTTACTTTAATAGAATATAAATATGTTAGGTTACCTTGAGTTGTGTCCAACATATTCTTTTACCACAGGAGTTCTGTCAAATCATCTAGTCGGATAGCCTTAAAGTTACAGTGTCGTTGTGGCCTTGTTGGTCCCAGCATTTGAGACGGACAAGGTGGGCGCAGTAATATCTTTTATTGGACTAACTTCTGTTTGTGAAAGACAAGCTTTCAAGCTCATCTTGTCTCTTTCACCAACAGAGGTTGGTCCATTAAAGATATTTTCCTCTAACTGTTACAGCACAAATACAATTCTTCAGTGCATACTACCACCTTGTGGCCAAAAGCTCAAAACATTATGAATCCAGTATATTTGTATTAGTTTTAGAATTAAAAAACTGTGTTTGGGCTGCAAATGATATGTATTCTGAGTAACACCCATCAACTGTTAAAAAAGGCTGATGCACAAGGAACATGCTATATTATAAAAAAACCTGCTAGACCAAGCCTTACGTTCATTTTGAAACGAGGTTTCAATTTGGGATGATGCAAATTCTAAATACTATAGTTTAGCGGCTAAATATTTCCAATTACTCTGAAAAAACTCAACCACTACACCTTCCTCTGAGTGATCCGTTATCACAAAGAGACATACCTAGGAACAGATCACTCAAAGTAGGGAGATGCGATGTGTTTAAATTTGCATTTTTTTTTTGAGAGAGAGAGAGAGAAGAAAATTCAGTACTGTACACAACGTCAGTTTGCCTTTTAGGTAAGATTAACCTGTCCTACCTTTTGCTGGAATTATCTTGCTAGATTACTAGCAGAGCAGCATTAGAAAGTAGGGATGCTACAACTAATAGTGAATAAACCTAACTCCTGAAGCAATAAGATAGTTAACAAAAATGCATGCTAACATGTCTGGCAGCAAGCACAGTTATCAGTGCCACGGTTATAAAAAGGTTTAGTTTCCAGCAGTCACAGACCCCCATTCCAGGATTGGAAGCATTTACCAAATAGAAAAGACTTACCAAAAGTTGTGCCATCTTCACCCATAATGCACTTCATGGAGGTGAGGATTTGCTCCATAACAGGTGCTGACAGTGACGTGGCATACACTGCACTATGAGAATGCGTACGGAGGTAGTCAATCAGCTCCTGACAAAACGAACACAGGAGGCCTTCAGATACCACCCTCAGTCAGATCTTAAAGCTATAGGCTCCACTGACAACATGACCACCCTACAAATTGGTAGCACCACACGTTGCGCGGACACACACACACACACACACACACACACTCCACAAGTCACCTAGAAAAGGCTGGGAAGCGCGTAAAAAGCTGCACACGACATTTACTAAACTAAAGTGCTAACAGCAGGGGTGAAACATGCCTGTGCACTATACTTTGTATCCCAAGGCAGGATGAGGGTCAACCAAAAAAATTCGGATAACTCAAATGTAGATTCATTCTACCAATGATCACAGCATTGGGTTTCGCAACAAGATGTCTGGAATTACTCAAGCTGTGCACAGGTTGTGTTTCGAGAGCAATCGTTCTGTCACGGGAAGATGCAAATCAATCCTCTCATTCCTGTGTGGTGGTGAGTAGGCTCTGCAGATGGCTATGTATCATGTTTGATACAAATCATTGCTAAGCATGTCACTGAACAAGGCATACAAAAGGTCACAAGGGATCTCTGCTAAGTGCACTATAGATAAGGCAGCAGGTGTAATTTAAGAATGAGCAAGAACTTCAGAGAGCTACTCCCTTTCTATTACTTACTCCTACCTTCTGCACTCAAATATAGCTTTTGCTACAGGATGGAAGCAAGCCATGAGGAAGACAAGGGGCACCACTCCCTGGAATGGTTACTCATCACTCATTGTATAATAAAACTATTCCACAACCCCCAGAAATGAGAAGCACTATGGTAAAACACCACAGCACGCGGTGGGACAAATTCTGGCCTCCGCTATGAAAAAAGCAACGGGAAGGCACAACGGTAACCAGGGGCAGAAATTTCTCTCAGCATATATTACTCAAGTTCTATTAGCACGATGCTGTTTTTGTCCCCTCCTAGCACCAGAGAAATTTAGAGCAGTGGTTCTCAACCTGAGGTCCATGGACGCCTGGGAGTCTGCAGACTATGTCTGTCTAAGGGATCTGCAAAAGGTTGTCATTACCATAGAACAGTGGTTTTCAACCTGTGGTTAGAGCTCTGCAAATCCTCAGATATCCGCTTTATAGCCATGGACCATGTCTGCGGATACAAATTTTGTATCCACGCAGTGGTCTACCTACGGTACATGGATCCTTGGGAGCGTGCACACAATGTTTAAGATTTCCAAAGGGGTCTGCACCTCCATTCTGTATTTTTTTAGGGGGCCACAAATGAAAAAAGGTTGGGAACCACTGCTCTAGAGCAGGGCTTCCCAAGAGGTGTTAGATGGCCCCCACCGGGAGGATATCGGGCATATAGCAAAGAGAGAAAGGACAATGGAAAGAAAAAAGATGCCTGAAAGCAGATGAAATAGCATACAGTGTTGCTCCATAGAGCTTAATTAGGAGCTAGGAAACCCTTGCCTTCAGAGTTCTCACTACTAGCTTCATTAACAGGTAGCAATTAAAAAATCCCTACCTTAAAGCACTGAGTAGCTATTAGCAAAAGAATTGCACAACCTCTCCTCCCCAAGTCTCAGCAGCTTTAGCTTATCACTCCTTCTAGGGAATTAGGAGTTCTTAAGGGAATTTTTTCCTGGATTCAACTCATCCACATTGGACAAAATTCCACATAACTGAACTGTACATCAATGTTTAGTTCCCAGTGTACCAGGTGAACTCAAAAAAACAAGCTAACACTGAAGGCCTCCAGGGATGTATCCTGGTACAGAACTGGGTAGGGCCCTAACTATCTGCTACCCAAAAAGTAGTTTCCACTTTTTGACCTTCAGAAGCCCAAATTAATACCTTGCTTCCTATCATGTCTCCCCACCACCTCTTTACCTTCTTGCCTCCGATGTATCCTCCAGCAGCTCCAAAGGCCTTGGTGAACGTTCCCATCATAACATCTACATCCTCAGGGTTAAGTCCAAAATACTCCACCACGCCCCGGCCAGTGAGACCCAGGGCACCTATACTGTGAGCCTCGTCCAGGTACAGGTATGACTTGTACTTCTTCTTGAGGGCAATCACTTCAGGTAGGCGGACTATGGAACCCTCCATGCTGTCGAAGAAAAAACAGATCAAATCATGTTAGATTCAGCTTTAAGGGTTTTTTATAATCGGGGTTCTGTTTGGAGATTCTAAACTGGATTCCTACCCTCCTTTTCTTTACTTCCTTTTAGCAGTTACGTAATTATCATGGAAGCATTATCTACAGACCATAACCCCTCTATGGAAAGATTTCTTTTACAAGTGTTTATGTTTAAAAACAAGATTTGTTGCATTCAGTGTTCAAATTTCCTTATTCTGAAAATCAGCATCACAAGTTAAACAGATTAAGTAGGCGCAAGGATGACAGAGCAACCCAATGCATTCTGTAATGCATTTCCATCTACAACAGATACTGCTTCTCTACCTCACAAACCTCAGTGTCCTATGCTGCCACCAATTAACGTGACATTGTTGATCTCCTAAATGAGATCAACCAGGCTGACCCATGCCTTCCAATAGCAGCTCAAGACCACCTGATCCTTAGGTCATGAGCCAGGTGCAAGGACAACTGAGCTCCAATTTATACCTCCCACACACCCTCAGAGAAGTCATGAGATCTGCACATATTGCCATCTATTCCCATTAGCATGATCAATAGACTGCTAGAAATGGAATTGGACTAGAGGGTATAAACTCAGCTCCAGAGCTTAGCATGTTTGATGTAAATAATTTGTTTAGATTACTTAGCATTTGTGTTGTATTTAGGAGATAGGAAGCTTTCCACCAGTACCAGCTGTTATTACAGTAGGCCATGTGGGAGGAGCTTAAAGATCAAACTAGGTCTAAAACAAATGGTCTCTCATCAAGAGCGACAGCTAAGTGGCATGCTCTTATTAACCAGCTCTACTGCTTGGTCCAGCGATGGAACCCAAACCCTGACAGCTGGATCTTGTGAAGAGTGTAGGCAAGGTAGAGAATAACTTGTACCTGTAAATTCCTTCCACTAGGATGAGGATTTTTTTCCAGGGCCTGCGGGTGCGAGGTTGCCCATGCACAATGGCATCTTTGAGCAGTTTCTCCAGGCTCTGCATGTCTGCACAGAAAAGAAAAAAAGGTACCAAGATTCCACCAAGCAGCCTTTATTACTATTTCCCCATTAGCATGACATAATTAAGTGCAGGAGCACTCAAATGAGGCCACAGCTACAAGTCACAGCCACCCTCTGATATGAAGAGTGGTCCACAGAGACTAATACAGTAACTCCTCACTTAACGTTGTAGTTATGTTCCTCAAAAATGTGACTAAGTGAAACGATGTTAAGCAAATCCAATTTCCCCATAAGAATTAGTGTAAATAGTGGGGGTTAGGTTCCAGGGAAATTTTTTTTTGCCAGACAAAAAAGACAGACAGACAGACACACACACACACACACGCACGCATACACACACATACACACACACGCACACACAGTATAAGTTTTAAACAAACAAATTAATACTGTACACAGCAATGATTGTGAAGCTTGGTTGAGGTGGTGGAGGCAGAGGGTGGGATATCTCCCAGGGAATGCCTTACTGCTAAATGATGAACTAGCAATTGGCTGAGCCCTCAAGGGTTAACTCACTGTTGTTAATGTAGCCTCACTCTCCACAAGGCAGCAAGAATGGAGGGAGGGGAGACAGCATGGCAGACAGAGACAGACACACACACCCTGTGTGTGAGAGAGAGAGAGATGAGCATTTCCCCTTTAAGTAGGCTGACACCACTCTTAAGTACACCACCTTCTTAAGTTAATCAGCAAGCTGAGACCAGAGCAGCTGCTGCCAGGAAGCTCTCTCCGTCCTGAGCCCTGTCCTGTGTCCCCCCTGCTCTATGGAGATGGGGTAAACAGGGTGCAGGAGCATGGTGGAGGGGGACACCCTGACATTAGCCTCCCCCAACAATTAGGCTCCGGAGAGCAGCTCCAAGGCAGAGGGCAGTGCGGGGAGGGACAGCTGAACTTCCGGCAATTGATAGCCTGCTGGGCAGCTGCTGCACAGGGAACTTAGGGGAGCTGATGGGGGGCTGCCGGTCCACCCTGGTTCCAAGCCCCCACCAGCTAGCTGCAACAGGATGCTCTTCCTGCAAGCAGTGGACAAAGCAGGCGGCTGCCAAACGAAGTTATAAAGGGAGCATTGCACAACTTTAAACGAGCATGTTCCCTAACTGATCAGCGACGTAACAACAAAACAACGTTAACCGGGACGACTTTAAGTGAGGAGTTACTGTACCTGTGGAATCTATACTCTATCATGGTCCAAGTTTAGCCACATTGCATTTGAGGACCTGCATTCTCCTGCAAGCCACATCTCATGTTACAGGTGACTGTGGCTGTGTGGTATTGCACTGCCACGTGATTTCCACTATGGGCCAGGATTTGGTCATGCCTGGTTAAAAGTACAACAGTACAGAGATTAAGCCATCAGAAAGAGACAGACATGGAAATAAAAGGGAAGAGAGAAATGGGTTGGTAAATGGCAGGTGGAGATGAGTGAAGGCATCTGATGTTTGGGAAAAACAAGAGTAGGCTTAGTGGCTGGAACAAAGAAGCCAGAGGGGAGAGAATGAGTTCAAGGATTATGGGCCTGAGACAGACTGCTGGGGATTGGGCAAAGGAGGATAGATGAGGAAGCAAGTTCTCCCCAATGTAATTTCTGTCTTTAAATAAACTGAACAAGATGGTGAGTGGAGAAAAGACACAAGAGTTAATAAGGAAGAAAATCTGGTGAGACCTGATTGGATTGGAGGTGTGGAAAGAGAAAGTGAATACACAAGGAACAAAACAGAGTAAAATGAGCAAAGGACAGTGAGTGGAGGAAGCTGGGGTAGTTACAGGCCTCTGCCCTCTAGAAACACTGCACTAGAGGAGCAGAGACCAAAGGCAAGGGGAATGCACAGGAGGGGGCGGAATTCATACCACACCATAACAGTAAAGTGGAGGGCTGGGAGTAGCAGCAGACTCCGAGACATCAGTAGCCTGAATTGAATGACAGTGCAGCTGAAATGATGCAGGGAGGAGCAAGGGAGAGATTGATGTTGAATGACAAGACCAGAGTGCATCTGAGTGATGAGAAGAGCATACCACTAGCACTTGGAGATCCAGTTGATGGAATGGCTAATGTGAATAAATCATGCAGGAGTCAGTCCAAACTAAGAGCCCAAAGGAAAGAAAGCAAGACATTAGAGATGGAGTGATCAACATGGAAGTTGAAGTGACATAGGATGAAGTCAGGGAGGCAGAGGAGAGAGCCAGGCATGGAAAACAAATTATGGGGAGGCTGGTGGGGAACACAGACAATCACAAAAAAGAGGAAAGAGTGTGATTTTGAAAAGTGGAGGTGGGAGAAGCTGAAAGAACCTTTTCTTTCTGGTTTCAGAGTCCAGATACAGGAGACTGTGCCAAAGCATAGTGCCAGGCACGGGTAGGGGTACTCATTTTTAATGTTTTTGTCCATAGGATGGAAATGATTACAGAACCATGTGAGGGAATCTTATTACAGCCTAGATCCTGACCTATGAAACTAAGCAATGACCTAAGAAACCATATGACAATCATCTATCTAGGTTCTTACACGACATTCACCACTTTAGTATCGGACATGGATTGTAATAAGATTCTGTAAGTGTGCTGACCCATACATGTTACAAACTGAAAGGTGTGAACACCAGCAGTTTCCCTGCATATTCCAGACAGACATACACTGGCTTTACATTAAGGATGTAAATATTGTTTAAAAAGTAAACCGTTTAAACTACTACAATTATATTGTTTAACCGATTAAAGGGAGAGGGCCCGGGGGCTCCACTCCAGCCAGACAAGGGGCCCCAGCTCCAGCCAGGTCCAGGGCTAGGGGTTAATGGTAAGACTAATGCCTACTGGTTAACCATTTACTATTTTATATCCCTACTTTACATATGAACAGCTATAAGGGGACCCAGAAATGCAACATCACAAAGTGCTACTGATTGGGGCAGAGGAGTACTGGTAGATCTGGGAAGGGAGAGAAGAGAAAGCCTACATGACACCTGCCTTTAATGTCTAGATTTAATCAGATACCCACATTTGCATAAGCACTAAATTCACTCACCCAGTTTAAATCTCTTCCATAAGTGTCCTTTCTCAGCAGCCTTAAAAAAGCCTGTATTTAATGGCCAATTTGCAAAGAATAGAGCTTCCAATCCAGGGTTTTCAACACTATTAACTTCAAGGTGCTAGCAGCCCCTAAGAGCCTCCAATTACTGGAAATGGGTTTCCCAGCTGGAAATTCAGATTTACTGTGACAAGAGGCAGGGTTCTCAGAAAAGAGTGACCTGTCTGAGCTACAAGAGGAAGTGCCCCCCAACAGGTACTCACTGTTGTGCTTGAAGATTCGAATAGTTGCTCCTGACAGTCTTGCTCCAAGCACTAGTGATGCATGATTCAGCTCATCGCTCAGTATCAGGCAGCCCTGCACAAGGGGAAAAAATGAGGCAGAAAGGATGAATAGACTGAGGTTAACAGCAGACCAGTGTGTAAGACCACTCTTATTTGTCTTTAGTCAGAGTACTCTTCAAACTGCTGTGCTTGTATTAGATGAGACAGCTGTGTCTTTAACTATCGCCAGTAATGGACATGTGTGCACATCCCAGTATCCTGCCATGAAGTCAAGATCAGTGATTCACCATATGAATCCTGTGGGGAATACGTGAAAGCCATACCTTACTAGGAAGTGCTGTGTGCAATACAGGGCCGAGTATGTCTGAAAACAATTTAATCCATTCTCTCAGGGAAAAGATAAGATTCCTTAATATCGTTGAACTAACATCTACTAGTGACTTTGATCAGCCTTATATTAAAAGGCGGCACGGGTACTGCTATTAAGCAATTACAATGAAGTTTGTTAAAATCAGTGCTCACATAAAATGGAGAACAGGAAATGTAGTACAGAACAGGAAGTTTTCAGTGCACCCTGACTCACCCTCAGGAAGTCTGCATATTTCTGACTGCACAACCCTTATGGATTTCACACCATCCCCAGCTTTCCAGCCCCAGCCTATACTTGGCTCTGTCTACACTAGGAACTTGACTGGCTGCTGCTAACGATCATCAGCAATGCGCCCATCCCCTCCAGAATCTGGTGCTCAAAACTGTAGAAAGGACACAACTGTTCTCAATCATTTTTGCCAGTGTTGAAAAAATGACTATGTCCTATTTGCATTACAGCTATGCAGTTTTCAGCATCAGTTCAGGGTGTCCTGTTGCTGACAGCCCATGGGGAGTAACAGATCGATTACCTCATGCTTATGGAGCCTATGAGTCCCTCCTGCTGGCTATGCTGACTAGACACTATTGGGGTAGGTTAGGTCCTATTATTGTGCTCTCAATCCCCTCACCGATGACAACAGTAGAATGGAGACTTAAGTAGTAACTGAAGATGTCACTAAAGCTTTTGAAGAACAGAGGAAAAAAATGCTCAGGCAGTTCTTTTGTGACCAGCACAGCTGTGGTGACTTCTATTTTAGGCTTATCAAGTGTGATGTAAATGCCTAATTACAGTGTAAATAATGAAAGACTGCCAGTCTTCCTGATTAGCTAACGGGTTACCTCTGGTCAGCTGGACCCCGGGCTTTGAGACCCTCCCCACTCACAGGATCTCAGAGCCAGAGTCCAGCCCAAGGCCAAACTTCTACACTGCCATTTTTAGCCTTCAGAGTAACAGCCGTGTTAGTCTGTATTCGCAAAAAGAAAAGGAGTACTTATGGCACCTTAGAGACTAACCAATTTATCTGAGCATGAGCTCATGCTCAAATAAATTGGTTAGTCTCTAAGGTGCCACAAGTACTCCTTTTCATTTTTAGCCTTGTGAGCCCGAATCAATTGACCCAGCTCAGATTTCATGCCAGTTTTTTGTTTTGTTTTTTTAATTGCAGTGCAAACCTAGGTCACCCAGCATCCCTCAATGTGCCCTTCCAATTTATATTTACATGGCCTTCATCACCATAATAGCAGAGTATCACCTAATTATGTTTTAAAAAAACCAACCATCTGCAGATTGGGAAAGAAAATAAAAGTCTTGGGCCTTGACATTTTAGCATTTGTGTTCCTTCAGAAGATCCAGAAATGCTGGTTAACCTCACTCACCACCTCTGAGGCTCCTTCTAGAGAAATATTGATGGTATATTAAATAAATTTATATTGGATCTATATTGACGAAATAAATACTCGTCTGTTACACTGTACTCATGGAGGATTTCAGTTACCTACAATAGGTATCTGAAGTAATGGACAACCAGAATCGAGTATACACAAAAGACGAGCCTATGCCACACAGAAGACAACTTTAGGATCCAGGAAGTTTTCAGAGAAACCTGGATCAACATCATTTCACTGAGGGACAGGAAGTAGTGAAAAACCATGAGGAAAAGTTGTCCCTGGCTATTTAAATCAGCCATAGTAAAGACTGTGGGATTCACACAACATGGCATTTCAAAGATATTAGATTTTGAGCACTTAATACTTTTACATAAGATGCAATTGGAAGAAGTATTAATATCTACCAGTGTGGAAAACAGCTGGTCAATTCCAAGAACACACATATTTAAGGCTAAAGAGACCATGCATCTTCCAAAACAAAATGTGAAGAGCATGAAGTAGTTGCTTCACCAGGGACATGCTCCAGAGTCTTAGAAGAGAAGACAGGACGCAACCACACAATAACAGAGGGTCAGGTGAGACTTGTAGAGGAAAGATAAGGACATCCAAAAAAGCAGAATTATCTAATCTTTGGGGACTTTTTAATTGGGGACTTTATAATTATTAGGCAAAATGAAAAAAGAAAGCAGTCTTATTACTAAAAGGAATAAAAATAGGTGAAAATTACTAGTTTCTCTAATACCTACAACTGACAAAAGGAAGACTAACCCTATTAACTTTAATCTTCAAACTATATCAGATGCAATTGATGCAAAGTGTTTAACTTAAATAAGAATGTTTTAAAAAATTCTAAATTTCCATTGCTGCATCAGAAATATGCGTTCTCTGGTCAGCAAGTGAAATTATCCTTGCAGCTGACACTAGTTTTTTGAATTCTCATTCCCTCCCCATAGACCCTACAAGCTCTTGAACTTTTCTCCCAAACCTGCTACTGTTTCTAGCAGCTATTCCATTCTTATTGTTATCAATGATACATAACAGGGTTCTAGAATGCCTGGAGAAAACAACATGAACACTTCAATTTTTAATGGACTATCCCAAATCTGGTCATTTTAATTTCTATTACTGCATTGAGTTGAAACTCCTTCTGAAGACCCTTCTTCATCATACACCATAGAAATCACCTTATAGCACAGAAGTAAAACAATTAAGATCCTTGGATGAGAATAACTATAAATGGTAAGTAAGTAACTGAATTTTTATGAAGTATTTGATAATCTGTCACAAAATCTTACTCATTACTTCAGATAGTTTTAAATACAAAAACAAGGCATCTTGAGAAAATAAACCAGGAAACCTAGGACTTGGAAGACTTTACCATGGTAAATGTTCACACACAGGGATAGAAAGTTATGGCACCAGCTAAGCCAGCAGTATCTGGAAAATTTAAGCAATCATTTAACATAAGTGCTAGTTTCTATAGTTGTGGAAATAACTTTACAACACACGAAGTGATCCTCTTCAATCTGCAGACAGCTACTGCAACCCTGGATGCTGATCAGAGCTACCCAGGTGTCAACACAGTGAAAGTGAGCAAAGCTTTCATTTTCACTGATGCCCACAAGATTCTGAATAGCTTCAGTGAAACTGCCCAGAATATTGTCAATTTCACTTCTGCTGCTTGGGAAAATTGTAAGCAGTGTCAGAGACAGGCACTGAAGGTATTCAAGAAAAGGACTACACACAGAAAAAGGCAGGAGATGAGATGAAGTAACAGAAATTTGAGAGGTTCAAACACCATAGGAGGAATTCAGAACGGTCCAAGGGGGAATAATAAGGAATAACAGGATGAAATTAAAAATGGGAATATTTAAATTGTACCAAGAAAAAATCCTGATAGACGTGCACGGCTGTAGAATTATCTCCCAAGGGAAGGAGAAGCCCCATTAGATTATATTTAAACCTGAACAGGAGACCGCAATAGACATACTTTGTACTATACCAACAGAGGGAGGTGGATTAAATGGAGTTTAACAGGTCTTCTCCATCTCTCAGGGCATGTCTACACTTACCTTCAGAGCGATTGATCCAGCCAGGGTCGATTTATCGCATCTATTGAAGACGCAATAAATCGACTGCCGAGCGCTCTCCCATCAACTCCGGTACCCCACTGGAGTGAGAAGCGTAGGCGGAGTCGACGGGGGAGCTTCAGCAGTCAACCTACCACAGTGAAGACACCGCGGTAAGTAGCTCTATGTATGTCGACTTCAGCTACTCTATTTTCATAGCTGAAGTTGCGTAATTTAAACCGATCTAGCTCGCCCCCCAGCGTAGACCAGGCCTTAATCTCCTGTGATTAGAGAACACCATTTAGAGATGCAAGAGATTCAGGCTGAGTTCTGTGCTATCAGGCAGCCGACTTATTATTTTGCAAACCTGGATGATCATTGTATTCATTAATGCAGAACTATTTAGTGAACAAAATGTTTGTTCTTTTATGCGTTTATTACATCAAAGGAAATTTTTCTTCCCTAGTAACTACTGTCTGTATGAGAGATTACAGGTTTCCAAGTTTATGACTGGGATGCCCAACTTGGCTCAATTTTATGCCAGTTAGAAGTGGCATTCAGATGATTCAGTCTCCCAGCAAGCTGTCAGAACAGTCTGTAACTGGGCAGTTTACGGAAGTAATCACCATCTTTAATATTAAGGTGTGGCCTGCAGAAACTAGAAGTCCCACAGGGTTGTGCTCTCTCCCAACACGAGCCATTCTAGAGCATTATAGGTCCGAGCACACACTGTCCCCAAAAGACCCTTGGGTTGAGATACAGTATTGATGACATATCAGGACCTGTTTCTGCAAAGAACATTTGCAGTGACTTCTTTGAAAAAAGAGTGAACAACCCCTAAAGAGTCCATAAGCAGAAACTTCATGCCTCACACCCTGTTACCCATTCTCTCTGAAGCCATACCTTGCCAACTAAAGCAGGAATGTTCATTGAGTTGGTTGAAAACCCCATCCCATAAGTCATTGCAGCCTCCACACCCAGGAACCTGGCCACTAGTTTTTCCAGCTCCTCATGCTTGTCCAGATTTCCTGCACGTAAAATAGCAAAAGATAAGTCAAAAATAAACCAAATGAACCTGGGGCCAAATCTGTACCACAAAAGGTTTTTCAACAGCTAGAATTTTTTTTTTGGGGTATGATCCAGAAAAGGGGGGGGGGGGGGATGAGGGGAAGGGTCGGTGGAAAATCTGAGAACATGTCAATGAAGACTGTTGTGGCTGTGTAAACTAAGCATGACAGAACAGAAAAGAACACAGAATTTATCTTCACTCTATAGTTGTGATTTCTTCACTGTTTCATCTGAGGTTCAAAAGCTGGAACCATACAATGTTTTGCAGAGACTAATGAACAGATGATGATTTACGTATATACTTTGAAAACACCTGCCCCCCACCCAAACTTACCCATTTCCTGCCTAGTGCTGCATACCCCAGCTCCATACTGTGTCAGTACTTTAGCTGCTGCTTCTTTGCAAATTCCAGTGTTCTGAGCAAATCCAAGATAGTTGTAGGAACCCATGTTAATAACGTCTTTTATCACTCTCCCTGTGTACCTGTATTTCAATAACATCACATGTTAAGACACTGACAATCAAACCCAAGATCCAGCTACACAAGAATACACTAGCTACCATTAGCTTGCTAGGAAATGCATGGAACTAGGAGAGACCAACAGCCAGTGGCCAGAAAGTTTACATGGATATGGCCCTCATTTTCAAAACTAAAATTAGCTGAACAAGGATGCTCTTTCATTGCTGGGGTTTCTAATTCAAGTTAGATGTGTTAAAGGTATATAAACCATTTTTTACAAATATCTGATTTCTCATCTTTTTTATGCTTATATATTTTAAAAAATTAAATGAAGGCTAGAAGCCAGTAGATGTTCTTTGGAATACTATCTTAAATTTTTAAAAGAATGCTGAAGGTTTTTCGAACCATTTGTTAGCTATGTCCTTTCTTCAGCCTCCCACTCCCAAATTTTGAGCCTTTTCTTCCCATTTTAAAAATTAATGTTTTAGACCAATTGGGTTGGCACTATCCCCAACAGGATATCCCCCCAGCACACAAAGGAAATGCATCTGGAAGTCAGCACTGGTGTGTTGCAATATGGGGCAAGAACAAACTGTAGTGGAAAAGAGTTGTATTAAATACAATACTCTTGAAAGCCAAGGACAGGAATCAAGTTACACTGTGTGTTGGGCTGTACAGGTTTCTTACATACAACCTCTGTCAGGGTACCTCAGACTTGATCTGTAGAAACCCTTGCTATTCCACTTCTGGTCTCCACCCCACAGCTCTGCCAGTTTATTTCAGTCTTGACCCAGAGCACTCCTGCTAAACTCAGCATTAGACAATCATGTGGTGTTTGTGGGAGATGTACTGTTGTGATAATCGAGCCCACAAATTTACCCTAATTGCGTGCTCAGCTGTGAGAAATGAGTGAAAGTTAATGGAATGTCACAATATCCTGTAACAAATGTTGATGGGAAAAGATACAAAAGCTAGACAAGGACTGAATTAGTATAAAGAGGCCAACTAATATAATTCAAGGAATGTGTTAAGTTCATGCCTGGTTAAACAAAAACAGCATGGGATCAGAAATCAGTGAACCAAAATTGGCATGTAGGAAGTTTTGTCTAATTGATGGATAAAATAATGAAATCACCACTCATCACTCCTTTTTGGGGTTCTTAAGAGACTTTGGGGAAGAAGAAAAACCTTTTATCATCACTGAAGGAGTAGTGGAAGGATTGTTGCTGTGACATTAGACTTTGATACTCCAGTGGAAGCACAGGACCATTATCGCTAAACCAGCAAGGACCATAACTTGATAAATGTGAGATACTGCTGTATTCCCCTCCCTCATGTGCTTCTTTCTGTCCCTTATATCTTCCTCCTGCTCTTTCCCTCCCAGCTTTTCATGTGATCCTGAAGCCAACCATATTGCACGGCACCAGCACAATGGAACAAGACAGTCCATCCAACTCTGTTCGGCCTGAGAAGGACCAGTGAAGGAGAGGGACCTGCCCAGACCAACCAGATGATATCCATGGTGAGCTGGAGTTCAGAACAGCTGTCGTGGCCCACCTGTCAGCCCAAAGCATCCATCCACAACTGACCAGCCACCCTGTATCCTGAGATCATCAACAAAAGCTGCGTTTCCCCCCCATCTTTACTATCTTTTCTATATCGGTCTTGTCTAAAGCAGGAAAGTGACTCATTCCCAACTCAGAACTGAACAACAGAACTCACCCTTTACTTCACCACCAAAAATGGTTTGGCTAAATAAAAGATTAACAAATATTCAGTGTTTCCAAAAAAGGACTTTGATTATCCAAAACAAAGTTAACCTATCAATTTCAGTTTCAATGCTCTCTACCTCATTTTGAGTCTTTGTCAAACTACTAACCTTTTGCATGAATTTTATAGTATACTACTTGCCATGGTTCTAGGCAGACGGAGGTCTCTGAATACCAAACCCCAAACCTTGGTTAAAACTATTTAATGTTGGACAGTGACTGGGTTAACACCTTTGGCTTACATATTCAATCTCAATTAACACCACGGTACACTCCAGGAGCCAGAATACCAAACTCTCACTTGAATTCTAATCCATGTCAGAATAAAGTCACCAGAAGTGAGACAGGCTAAGCAGCATACACAGTAAATGCCCTCACAAAGGTACTGGCCTGATTTTACCACTGGCTTCCCACTACTATGTGAACCCTTCCATACAATGATATAAAAACACTTCTAATCACTGTGTTTACAGATGTGTAATCGTTTATACTTGGTGTAAATCATAATCCCAGTGAAGAGGAATTAGCATCTCAAACTCTGAAGTTCCTTGGTTCAAATTTGTGGCACTTCTAAGAACAATCAGAATAGCCATACTGGGTCAGACCAATGATTCATCTAGCCCAGTATCTTGTCTTCGACAGTGGCCAGTGCCAGGTGTTTCAGAGGAAATGAACAGAACAGGGCAATTAGGGAGTGATCCATCACCTGTCCTCCAGTCCCAGCATCTAGTAATCACAGGTTTAAAAAGTCTCAGAGCCCATTATGGGATTGCATCCCTGACCATCTTGGCTAATGGCCATTGATGAATCTATCCTTCAGGAACTTATCGGATACTTTTTTGAACCCAGTTATAGTTTTGGCCTTCCCCTAGCAACAAGTTCCACTGGTTGATTGTGAGTGGTGGGAAGAAGTACTTACTTATGTTTGTTTTAAATCTGCTGCCTATTAATTTCATTAGGTGACCCCCTGATTCTTGTGTTATGTGAATGGGTAACTAGCACTTTCTTATTCACTTTCTCCACAACATTCATGATTTTTTAGACAGCTACCATATTTCTCTTCCCCCATCCCCACACCTCTTTTCCAGGCTGAACAGTCCCGGTCTTAATCTCCCCTCATATGGAAGCTATTCTATACCTTAATAATTTTTGCTGCTCTTCTCTCTACTTGTTCCAATTTAAATATTTTTTTTTTAAATGGGGAGACCAGAACTGCATGCAGTATTCATGGTATGGGCGTATTATGGGTTTATCTAGGGGCATTATGATATTTTCTGTCATAGTATCTATCCATTTCCTAATAGTTCCTAACATTCTGGTAGCTTTTTTAGACTGCTACTGCACATCGAGTAGATGTTTTCGGTGCACTATTCACAATGACTCCACAATCTTTTTCTTGCATAACAGCTAATTTAGACCCCCATCATTTTTGTGTATAGTTGGGATTTGTTTTCCATTGTGCTTTACTCTGCATTTATCAACATTGAGTTTCATCTGCCATTTTGTTGTCCAGTCACCCTGTTTTGAGAGACAGACTCTTCAGTTTCCTTTGGACTTTACTATCCTGAGTAATTTTGTATTGTCTGCCACCTGACTGTTTACCCATTTTCCAGATCATTTACGACTATGTTGAACAGCGCTGGTCCGAGTACAGACCCCTTGGGGAACCTGCTAATTTACCTTTCTCCACTGTGAAAACTGACAGTTGATTCCTACCCTTTGTTTCCTATGTTTTAACCAATAACTGATCCAGGAGAAGACCTTCCCTCTTATCCACTAGTCTGTGCAGGGCCTGCTGCTCCTTCAAAGACAGTTTCATAGCCCTCAGGCATTCTCCACTCAAGACTAATTGTTGGGAATCTTTCCCCAAGCTTTAACTCACACAAATGTCCAATTGTAGTCCTGGGAAAGTCTCTCCATCATGTCCACTTTGGCCCCAGGTACACTGCAGATTGGTCTGTTCCAGCTGTCTCGAATGCGCATGTAAAGGTTCCTTGTGTAGAAGTTTTCAAAGTCCTGATACAATGGGACAAAGTCCTGCAAAAGATACATTAAGGGCATTCAAACAAGAGAAAAGATCATATGCCTAGTCTGTTGTGATACAAGGAGAGCCAGTTTTCTGCATCAGTTTGGGATGCACTTTTAATTGCACTCAAGAAAAATGCAATATATGATCACACTGAACACTTTTCAGCCACTGATTTTAAAGAACTTCACTGAGGTGTCATTCCCTACATACAGCTCTGCTGGGAAGCTGAGGCACAGGGAAAGCCGCTTGCCCAACTCCACATAGCAGCAGAACCAGGAACAGAACCTAAACTTCCCAATTCCTAGGGCATGCCCTTATCCACATTATCCATATTTCAATCCCAGGAGATGAGTAAAATTTCCTCAGTTGTTTACATCCCATTGTAGAGAAGAGATGGAGAAGGGGTGGCCCCCGCTGGGGCCTACTTTCCCAACTCCTCCTCTCCCAGTGCAGCAGTTCCTGTTCACTGTGTGTTCAGCTGCAACGGAGAGCAAGGAAATCTTCTGTATGAAGGTACCCTTTTTACAGTTCATTTTCAGAAAAATAACATACTTTAATGCAATTAATACAGCAGCATTAGCATTACTGTGGAAATTAACTTCCAAATTTCCCAAACTAGTGTTCAGAATCCCAATTGTAAAGCTGAATTCTAACAAACTCTTCTCTATAGTTTGCATTATCACTTATATCCCACAAAGTTTGTTTGCAAAAATGTTTCCTGAACTCCAGCTTCCTTTCCAACATATCTCTCAAGAAAACCAAATGTATGTCTTGAATGGATAACAAGGAAGAACTTCAAGCTTACTGACAACACTGACTCATCTGAGCACAGGGTAACGTACTCCCTTGGCCCACTTTGAAAGCTTGAAAGGATAACAAAATTTCTTTATTTACTGTTCAATTAAAAGGAAGTTTGACATCAGAAGAGCAGTGAGACTATGTAGAATACACTATTCACCTGATCTACTGGTGCAAGAAAAGCATCTTTCATTAAAAGTGACCTACACAGGAGGAAAAGCTGGAGTTTATGATAGAGGAAGACAGACAGGAAGAAAATCCATGCAAGCTGTTTTTCATATTAGAAATTCAGAACTTGTCTGGCCTGTTTTATTGAGGAGCTCATATGAAAGAGTGAAGAATTAATGTTTTGACATTATGTATAAGTAGAACCTCAGAGTTACGAATACCAGAGTTACAAACGGACCACTCAACCACACACCTCATTTGGAACTGGAAGTATGCAATCAGGCAGCAGCAGAGACCAAAAAGAGCAAATACAGTGTAGTACTGTGTTAAATGTAAACTACTAAAAATATAGGAAAAGTTTAAAAAAAAGATTTCACAAGGTAAGGAAACTGTTTCTGTGCTTGTTTCATTTAAATTAATATGGTTAAAAGCAGCATTTTTCTTCTGCATAGTAAAGTTTGAAAGATGTATTAAGTCAATGTTTAGTTGTAAACTTTTAAAAGAACCACCATAATGTTTAGTTCAGAGTTCTGAACATTTCAGAATTGCAAACAACCTCCATTGCCGAGGTGTTCATAACTCTGAGGTTCCACTGTACCATGGAAGTAAATCTTGATTGAGAGGAAAGTAATATTTATTCATACTTCTTTCAAAGCTTTTAATTAGGTCCCGACAGACCAAATAACTCCAACTCATGTTACACATCTGGAAGAAAAACGTTTTTGTTAAAGATTTAACCCCCTTTCTCCTTCAGTTAGCATGGTACCTCATCCACTGCTCTGGATCCTCCAAGGAAAACCACAAACAAAAAGAGTAAAGACTAGCATTGTACAGCTGTGGCTTAGAGCCCTAACACGAGCAGCATGCTCACAACACAACAGCACTCAGGGCTACAGAGCAGGCAGGCAGTGACTGAATGCCCTGCAGATCTGGGGGAAACCCAAAGCGTCACAACGAGATGCAACAGTCCTGATATTTCTAAAAAAGAGCATGTAGAACTGTTTTTTTAAAAGCCCTTAGCCACCTTCACACAGCAGAGCAGCAAAAAAAAAACAAACAAACAAACCTATTTATTCCTCCACAGGTAATTTAAATTACAGAAGGGCAAACCAAATCCAGTCACAGAATGGACCTCCCAGGTAGACCGTGGATCTCAGATGTGTCCTTTCCTACCTAAGGAGAATTAAAGTTTTTAGAACCTCAAGGGGAAGTGAGTTTTACAGATAACAATATCCTGGACAAACCTTATGGAATTAAACTTAATTCAGGAAGGTTTAACTTAAGTATTTTGGAAGTAGTTCATGTACTATCTATAGAGGTTCTTTAGGAGGAAGACATGATTAATACAATCTCATCACATTTAGGACAGGGATGGGCAAACTGCGGCCCACCAGCTGATTTAATCCGGCCCTCGAGCTCCCGCTGGGGAGCAGGGTCTGGGGCTTGCCCCGCTCCCACTCTCCAGCCAGGGAGTGGGGCCAGGGGCTGCTCTGCACGGCTCCTGGGAGCAGCGGCATGTCCCCCTCACCAGCTCCTGAGCATAGGGGAAGCCAGGAAGCTCCACACGCTCTCGCGCTCCAAGCGCCACCCCTGCAGCTCCCATTGGCCAGGAACTACACGGAGCAACCTGGCTGTGCCTCCACATAGGAGCCAGAGAGGGGACATGCCGCTACTTCTGGGAGCTGCTGGATATAAGCGCCACCTGGAGCCTGCACCCCTGAGCCCCTCCCGCACCCCAACACCCTGTTCCAGCCCTGATCCCACTCTCGCCCTCCAAAGCCCTCGATCCCAGCCCAGAACACCCTCCTGCACCCCAAACCCCTCATCCCCAGCCCCATCCCAGAGCCTGCACCCCAGCCAGAGCCCTCACCCCCTCCCACGGTGCCCCAATCCCCTGCCCCAGCCGGAGCCCCCTCCCACACTCCCAACCCCTCAGTTCCAGCCTAGAGCACCCACCTACACCCCAACCCTCTCATCCCCAGCCCCACCCCAGAGCCCACACCTCTAGCTGGAGCCCTCACCCCCCCTCCCGCACCCCAACCCCCTGCCTGGAGACCCCTCCCACAGCCTCACTGCCTCATTTCTGGCCCCACCCCAGAGCCTGCACCCCCAGCCAGAGCCCGCACCCCCTCCTGCACCCCAACTTTGAGCATTCATGGCCCACCATACAATTCCATACCCAGATGTGGCCCTTGAGACAAAAAGTATGCCCACTGCTGGTTTAGGAACTTCAAAGGACTTTTTGGGACAATACGTGTGGAGTGGATTTCCTAGCAAATACTTGGGGGTGTAAGGAATGCAAATGACCTACTTCAAATTAGGGCTGTCGATGAATCACAGTTAACTCATGTGATTAACTCAAAAAAATTTAATCACAAATAATCACAGTTTTAATCGCACTGTAACAATAGAAAACCAACTGAAATTTATTATATATTTTGAATGTAGAAAAACATTTTCATATATATTGTATTGTGTTTAACTGAAATCAAAGTGTATAGATTACAAATATTTGTACTGTAAAAATGATAAAGAAATAGTATTTTTCCATTCACCTCATATGAGTACTGTAGTGCAATCTGTTTATCATGAAAGTTGAACTTACAAAAGTAGAATTATGTAAAAAACGCACCTGCATTCAAAAATAAAACAATGTAAAACTTTAGAGCCTGCAAACCCCTCAGTCCTACTTCTTGTTCAGCCAATTGCTCAGACAAACAAGTTTGTTTACATTTGCAGGAGATAATGCTGCCCACTTCTTGTTCACAGCACCACCAGAAAGTGAGAACAGGCATTCTCATGGCACTATTGTAGCTGGCATCGCAAGATATGTACATGCCAGATGCACTAAAGATTCCTATGTCCCTTCATGCTTCAACCACCATTCCAGGGCACATGCATCCATGCTGATGATGGGTTCTGCTCAACAACAATCCAAAGCAGAGTGGACCAATGCATGTTCATTTTCATTATCTGAGACAGATGCTGTCATAAATATAAAGGGAAGGGTAAACCCCTTTGAAATCCTTCCTGGCCAGGGGAAAGCTCCTCTCACCTGTAAAGGGTTAAGAAGCTAAAGGTAACCTCGCTGGCACCTGACCAAAATGACCAATGAGGAGACAAGATACTTTCAAAAGCTGGGAGGAGGGAGAGAAACAAAGGGTCTGTGTGTCTGTCTTTGTCGGGGATAGACCAGGAATGGAGTCTTAGAACTTTTAATAAGTAATCTAGCTAGGTATGTGTTAGATTATGATTTCTTTAAATGTCTGAGAAAAGAATTGTGCTGAATAGAATAACTATTTCTGTCTGTGTATCTTTTTTGTAACTTAAGGTTTTGCCGAGAGGGGCTCTCTATGTTTTTGAATCTAAATTACCCTGCAAGATATCTACCACCCTGATTTTACAGGGGGGATTTCTTTATTTCTATTTACTTCTATTTTTATTAAAAGTCTTCTTGTAAGAAAACTGAATGCTTTTTCATTGTTCTCAGATCCAAGGATTTGGGTCTGTGGTCACCTATGCAAATTGGTGAGGCTTTTTATCCAACATTTCCCAGGAAAGGGGGGGTGCAAATGTTGGGAGGATTGTTCATTGTTCTTAAGATCCAAGGGTCTGGGTCTGTAGTCACCTAGGCAAATTGGTGAGGCTTTTTACCAAACCTTGTCCAGGAAGTGGGGTGCAAGGTTTTGGGAAGTATTTTGGGGGGAAGGACGCATCCAAACAGCTCTTCCCCAGTAACCAGTATTAGTTTGGTGGTGGTAGCGGCCAGTCCAAGGACAACGGGTGGAATATTTTGTACCTTGGGGAAGTTTTGACCTAAGCTGGTAAAGATAAGCTTAGGAGGTTTTTCATGCAGGTCCCCACATCTGTACCCTAGAGTTCAGAGTAGGGGAGGAACCTTGACAGATGCCACCAGCAGAAGGTTGATTTTCTCTTTTGGTGGTTCGGGTTCTGTAGTTTCCGCATCAGTGTTTTGCTCTTTTAAGACTTCTGAAAGCATGCGCCACACCTCGTCCCTCTTGGATTTTGGATGGTACTTCAG